GCCTGGACAAGGTCCTGTGCAGCCTGCTCTGGGTGACCCTGCTTCGGCAGGAGGGTTGGACTGGGTGACCCCAGAGGTCCCTTCCAACCCCGACCATGCTGTGATTCTGTGATTCTGTAACGTGTTGAGACCCGAGCACGTAAATCCACCCCAGAGACCGCCGTTGGAAGTCGAGTCCTCTGAGGACACCGTGTTCCAGAGTGAGCATCAAGGGAGCACTGGCGTCCTCTGAGCCAGCTGGAACTTGTCCCTGCCCCACGATCTGCTGTGGCATTCCCTAGCTCTCCTCGCTGTCTTCCCGGCTTGCGTGCCTCTGTCCTGCTTTTCCTTTCCCAGCTCCACCTCAGCCTGCGCTTCTCCTCACCCTTGCGCTCTCCCCGTCTGTTCTTGCTCCGTGTACCTGGTCCCGTCGCCCTCGTGCTAACCGCCGCTTCTTCACGTAGAAGTGACACCGTTGTCCCCCGTGGCAGAGGTTTTTCACCGTATTTTCCTGCGTTTCAGGGCAAGCCAGAACTTTGACAAAACGCAGACGGTGCGATCCACAGCTGCGTCGGACGGAGCCAGCAGCAGGACCCCCACGCACCACGGTAGGTCGCAGCGGGGCAGAGAGCCTGGCAGACGGACACCTGGATGGGTCCTGGTGCAGAGCGAGGAACGTGGCTGCTCCTCCGTGCCGGGGGCTTGCTGGGACTGTGCTGTCCTCGTACTGGGAGGTCCTGGGGCTGTGGTTTCGTGGGAGGGATGCTGGTCCCGTTAGATGCCTCTCCCCTTGACTGACTTCGCGTGTCCCTGCTGCTTGCTCTGCAGCTGCGGCGGACACGCGTGACTTAGTCTTCAGTTTACCTGGGCACAGTGTGCAAGCATGCTTCAGCCCACCGTGTTTCTCCACCTGCTGTTCTCCTGCTCCCACCAATGCCTCCTCCGTTGCCCTCTCTGAGACCGGCCCCACTCACGCCACTAACCGGACAGGTGAGTACCAGCCCAGGCACCCCGGAGCTGCTGGAGCAACGCCGAGGTCTGCCTGTCCCACCGTTGCATCACCTCGTGTCCCCAGATCCCTCTCACCTCGTGTCCTACCTCGGCACGTTCTGAAAAGGACCTGCAGCCCGCCCTTCAGAACGTGCGTGGTGTCCTCCCCACCCGCTGTCTGGGTCGAGACCCACTCTGGCAGGCAGCTGGGGGACACAGTGGGACTGCCAGGCCGAGCAGCCCTCCTTCTGGTGTGGTTCATAGAATCACAGAACATTAGGGGTTGGAAGGGACCTCTGGGGTCACCCAGTCCAACCCCCTGCCCAAGCAGGGTCACCCAGAGCAGGCTGCACAGCACCGCGGCCAGGCGGGGCTGGAATATCTCCACAGAAGGAGACTCCACAGCCTCCCTGGGCAGCCTGGGCCAGGGCTCCGTCACCCTCAGA